TGGGATCACAGACAACGGAACGAGCTAAATATTACACACATAGCAATGTACATATTGGAAAGCGGTCTGTGTTTGATGTCTTAGCATAAAACAAACACTGCATCGCATATGAGTAAGAAGTGAAAATTACTTATACAGCTTTTTACTTGTTGTACATATGACTAGTATGTTTCAGAACACTAGAATTAGAAAGTAAAGGGAACAGATTAGGCACAAGATGGCAACGGGTTTTAGTACAAAATAAGCATTAGTCTTCACTACGTCACGATCTTTTCTGGTCTCTCCAATGCATCGTAATTGCTTATAAGCAACTCTCAAAAGAGGCTGCCACTGGTAGCACAGCGGACAACATCTGCTAGCACTCCGGGTTTCTTCTGAATGCCACCACCCTTTATTTAAGGAGTGGTGCAAAAGTCACTTCCAATTCTAGTGAACACATGCTTTTTGGCACTCCAAGAGTTAGAAAAATACCATGATATGTCAAAAACCCCAAAAATGTACTTACCTGTTCATCATTATGCGCATAGTAAGTAGCGTAGGACCACCGTCTGGTTGTTCTGCTAACTGTCAGTGAGTTTGGACCGTGCAGTTGTCGTTTCGTGCGGTACATTTTGCTATAAAATGGTGCAACGGCTACAGGTTGTTCGGCGCCATGAGCGAACTGTGCACCAGTCATAAATATCTCGTCGCTAAGCCTCACAAATTCTTCCTTCTGAATTTATATCTGAATTTTTGAACTTATGGCACAGAGCCTCCCTCCTCCCCTGTCAATAACCCAAGGACCCAGAGAGAACTAGCAAAAGTACTCTACTATTTGCTCCAAACACTGCTCCTGCACTTCGGCAAAGGAAAACATAATGAAAAAAAAAAAAAATTGTTTTGAACAAAGCAGTAAAACCTTGTTCTGGGATAAATGAACGCCGGATTGCTCGAAGTCATCAAGGAATAAAAGAACTGTACGCCTGTCAACATCAGTTAAGCAATCGCTTTCGAGCTGCATTGAATTCTTCAGTGCTTCATACAAATCCGATCGCGTATTTAAACTGAACAAAATGAAAAATCAAAATTCAAATGCATCGATCCGAAAACAGTGAGGAAAAAAAAACGTGATGTATCGCAAAAACAGAAATAACTACCTTTCGACAAGCTCCGTGAAATCGCGCATACTTTCGCTGGCCGCTG